CCCTGAGAACGGGTCTCGACACCGTGACGATGAGAACCCGCTCTGGTGGGAAGCGGCTGGTGCCCCGTCTTGCCTCCCAGCACCAGGCTGTCCCGCGGTTCCCCTCACTTGTAACAACAAGGAAAATCAGTCCGCTGACAATGGCACAGAAGCATTTTACAAAAGTGCTGGCTCAACATCCCAGGCAGATCACGTCTGTGCCCCAACTTGGGAGAGGAGATAAGAGCCTCATGACAGGGTTCCTCGCACGTTGCTGGAGGCAGCCGCTCGTCACAGCTTCTCTCGGTGAACTTGGTGTGAATGGTGCTTACAAAGCAGGGGCGGAGGGCAGGACACTGGTGGCAAGGATGGGCTGCGTGGGCATCACGCTGGCTCCTCCCTGGGACTTCCCTCCCCCCCCTTCCCCGCATCACCTCTCTCTGCAAAGGGGCCGAGGGATGACGGGCAGACCTGGTGCTGGAGGGCCACTCCCACCGCCCAGACAACAGCCACCTCTTTCTTAAAAGGACATCATGGGACACGGAACCAGTGTCCTGTTGAAATACTTCCCCTTGGCGAGACAGGCAGCAACCCTCGAAAGGAAACTTCTTTTGTGGGGCTGTGATTTCCTGAGGATACCGCACTCTAGATGTGCCCGATGGCTCAAAAGGAATTAGGAATTTGCAGTTGGTAGTTGTACTTGTTTTTTATTTTTGTAACACAAACAGGGAGAGAGGAGGCAGAGGGGCAGGGCGCAGCAACGTCCCAGGAACAGCTTCTGTGGCGGCATACGTTCCTACGTATTTGTTTTCAAAAGGCAGTTCTGAGGTCCGTGTTTCAGGAAACTCCCAAGGCTGTCAATCTCAGTGCAAACAGCTTAAAATAAAAACCTCCGGTCTGTTCACCACAGGAGGATCCAACTCAAAATGCAAAATAAGCCTGTTTGGAAAGCGCCCGCCCTCAAAACAAGAGCGAGGGCTTTAAAGACATATTAGACACAGAATCTTCCAGGAATCGACTCAGCTGCGGCATCACAGAACCAAAAACACCAAATAACATATCCAACTGTAGAACTGCTGGCTTTAAAAAATAAAGGG